TCCGCCAGTGTATTTCGACAACGCAAGCGAGATTACCATTCCATTATCATCCATTAAAGAAGCAAGAATTCGGTAAGCCTCGCCAGTAGTCTTGTGTTCGACAACGGCGGTTTAGAGACTAATGACACCAGAGGGCGATACCCTCACTCGGTAGCAGTAGTCTTTTTTATCACCAAACGATGTTAAACGTTACGCCCGCAACCAATAAAAACTTGACAGCCTCTATATTTCTCTATTTGTTTGATAACTTCAAACAAGTAACTTAAAACGCAATGATACAATTTTATTACATACAATATAATAATACTGCAATAAAACCGCCGGCCGTCCTTCACGGCATCCTTTACCGTTCGCCACTAGTGCACAACTTGTCCGCCCTGAATTAATTTATTTAACTTTAACGCGAATAACATTAGCACACTTTTTAATAAGTGTCTGGTTTGTTTTTTAAGATAACGAAGGATATTTTGGATCTACCTTTCAATAAGTTTAAAACTGTTATTAAAAAACTCTTATTAAACAAAGCCTATTACACATTAAACAATTACTTGAATGACAAATGTGCATGGTATGGTATGGTATTTGTTGATCATGCATGGGCTTTTAATGGCCATGCAATTTTAGATTTAGTACATTTGAATAAATACACATAATGTTAACAGAGATTTAAAATAGTAACTGTTGAGTTTCTCGCGGGCTCTTCTCAATAGATAACAACTTTCCAAACCCTGCAGTAGATTAAAAAAAACTTTAAAAGTGCTTATAAACAAGTTTATTTAAATAAATATAATTTGAATTTGGATTTATTTATTTTATTTATCGTTAGTACTACTAACTAGTAACAGCGTTCAAAGCGATGTATTGTAGCAATTTTCTTTTATTTTATTTTTTTCAATATAATACTAATTAATGGGTTTCAGCCTAGAGACATTAAATAATGTGCATTCTCTATTTCACCATCAAGAAATTTAATATTACAATATACTAAATTAATGCAAAATAGAAAATATTAAGGCAAATTTTCACAGCTTCAAAGCCACTTTTTCAGTCGACTTCAAATAGGATGAAGTTTTTAAGTCAACTGTCAATTTTTTTATATATTCACAGGTATATCATATCGTCATTCATTCTTTTTTATATAAAGAGAAAGTATCCTGTTGGCGCTATGCTGTACTAATGCTGTTAAGACTAAAGTCGTTTTTTTTATAGAAAAACAAATTATATTTTCAGCAAAACAAAATTAAAGAAAATTTATGTTATAAAATGAAAACTCCAGTTCACAGTTTTATTGCGAGCAATTGGCTCGCAGATAGAAGAGTTCAAGATATCACTGTATCATAAATTAAGTTATTAGCGAAGTTGGCCGGAGCTCTCCGCTCGTGCCAGTCACATTTCTCCTCGATTAGCCGCTCGACTGGCTCGACTGGCTCGAGAGCTTCAGATCCGGCGAGTATTTATGGATTCGCCATCTGTACTACTTATCGGTCTGTTGAGTTGTTGCGGTTCCGTACCGACACATAAAAACGAATCTCAAATATTTATTCCGTGCGCGAAAATAAACGTCACCGATGTCACTTATCTACTTATACTAAATGCTTTTTATTGGAATTGAAATTTTGTCCTGTTCTTTTGTCTTCAGCTATGACATTTTTATCACGAGAGTGACTTATTTTATTTCCAAATATAAAATTATTTATAAATACAAATAATTCTACTTAATATTATAAAGTGAAAGATGGTAAAGATTCCGGGATATTTGGCACTCAATCAAAGTAAGAGAAATATTCAGACTAGTCGTCATGTCCTATCAGCCATTATCTGCCCACATGCTGAACATAGATCTCCAAAATAGACTGTCATTAAGAACACGGTCCCAAGCCATCTGTAACCACTGACACCTTACAATGCATCTGAGGTCGTCACTCCATCTAATAGGGGGTCATTTTACACTGCATTTGCCCGTACGAGGTCCCCACTCAAGAACTTTTCCCCCACATCCGTTGTCAGTTTTTCGATCTATGCGATCAACCCATTTTCACTTCAGCTTGCCTATACTTCGGGCTAAGTCAATCACTGTTTCTTCTGCGGATTCTATCACGCAAACAAACTCGGAGCATAGCCCTCTCCAGTGCTCGTTAAGTAACTTGCGGCTTTTGCATACAGGCACCTTGGTCCTACGCGATTACCCATACACAAAATCTTCAGGTCAATATGATCAATAAATATCCCTCGTTTACGTGGACAAAATTGCAGGCGCGCCCAGTCCATATACAAACTTAAAAGAACAAAGCCCAATGTAAAGCTTACTAACAATACTCCTTTTATAAAAAGAGAACATACAAATGCTAGTTTTCCAATGAAGTGCCATTTGTGTAAAAAGCAGAAAATTTAAAACGAATAGAAATTAAAAGGCACTACAGACTACAAAGAACTGTCATTAATTACCGAGTATTGCTTTAGAATTCATTTCAATTTTCCCCTTTTATTTGCAGTTTCAAATGTAACAGAAAAAAATAGGAGATAATTGTTTGAGAAGTATCATTATAGCCTTTCAACAAATTGTCAATTCTTTTTCTTTTCTGTTTAAAACTGTAACTTTTGTTAATTTTTTATTTAAAACTTTAAATCTTATAGGGACCGTTTTATAAGGATAATTTTTAAAATATACAAAATATATTCTTTTTATAACTTTTTAAATCAACACCTATTATAAATCTTCAAAGGAATAGAACATGTCAAATTGAGTTTTACTTAAAAGAGACCTAAGTTAAAACTTTAAAACGTTAGCCACGTTTCAAAGTTTTAACTTAGTTTCAGATTGTTACGGAGCCCTAACTAAATAATTTGGTTAATAGTGAGGATCTGAAAGGTCGAATGTAATCGTTTGTTAGTTTAAATTGAGAATAATAAAAGAATCCAAAAAGAACTGTTATTTTAAGCGACTTCGAAATCGAGGTTTCCAATTAGCTTCTATTTTTTGTGTACATTGATTTTTATGAATATTTTTGCATTATAAATATTCTTCGGCTTTATTCACGTTCTTTATTTCAGCGGTGCCCGACTAGTTTCCAACTCAATAGGAGTTCTTATTAACGAGCGCGGTTCACGACCATGTGCGACCATTACGCTGCTTGTCGCTGTTTGTTTGTTGTCAGAAATGACATACATATTGGGGAAACGGATTGTTATCAGGTCAACCTCTACGTGGCCCTTCCTGGAAACCATTGTCGCTAAATTCCAGGTGTATTCATAGATAGATAGGTAGATACTTTTTATTGTTTCCTCCATAAGATTACAGTGGTAAATTTTATATATAGATACAAATAATTACAAAAAATGTTCACACTAAGAAAACAATGGGCAGCCTTATCGCTAAAAACAATCTCTTCCAGGCAATCTTTGCATGGAGAGGAGTATTTATAAACAGTTTTATCGGAGGCGCGATGAAAATTTTGTTATTTTCAATACATATAGAAATGAAATATTTTCAATAATGTAAATGTATATTCATCACGATAGACTAACTAACCTGCCGTTTCATCCTCACCTATTATCCCTCACTGGTACCCCGCCAGCGTAAACCATTAGCCCGGGCGGGGCTAATGGTTTACGCTGATTTGTTTATCATCCATTAAAAAAAGCATGCACACATGCATGGATATTATGGGCGACACAATATACTCTGTGATGTCCATGGTGCCTGTTCATGTCTGTAGGCGACGGTCACCACTCTCTGTCAGATGGGCCATCAGTGAGTTCGCCGTTGTAAGTTGCTTAAAAAAATTAACATCCATATTCTGTAAAGCTGTCTTAATACGAATGACGATTGCGTTTCACAAAAAAGACTTCAGTTGTGACCAGCTATTTTGATTTTAATAAAATTTCTACAGGACCAATCTGTAAGTTATCGTTTGAGATAAAAAAAAGACATTTCCAAATCGGTTTCCAACTGACGGAGTTATGAGGTGACAAACATGAAGAAAAAACAGCGGAATTGAGAGAACCTCCATCTTTCTGAAGTCGATAGAAAATAAACGGCGTCACCGATTATCGTGTAAATGGGAAAATGGACAAATTGAAACACGCAATTATGATGCTAATATAATCGGCGAGTACTTATTTACGGCTGTAATAGGTAAACGTGTCCGTAGCGAGACGGAATGGCGGCGAGGAGCGCACGGTTCCCACGTCACGATCATAAATTTGCTTGTTTATATCGAAAATAAAAATGAACTATACGTATAGAAAGAGCTATTTCATTTGCAAATATTAGCGTTTAGAAGCTTAACAGTCAAAAAAACTCTTTATTTTCTAATAAATTAATATTTCACCATACGAGTGTATTCAGGTGGTCCTGTCAAAGAAATTAATGTCCTAAAATTGTTTTTTGAAAAGAAATATGCGCGGGAAGTTTGAGTCTCTAATACTGTTACGTCACGTCTGTTAAGTTAGATGGCAAGCCTGAATCTTTTTGTTATTTTTCGATCCATATTTCTTTGGCCAAAAAATCCTTTAAAAGAATGCTCATGATTTCTTACAAACAATCTAGTGAGTCCTACCGTGACGTCAGGTAATCAGATCACTTGTCTAGGTATTACAGTGTAGATAAGCTATCGTTGATTATTTAATTTTTATTTGTTAAGACCGATACAGAGATATATACGAGTAGAGTGCATAATCCCAGAAAATATTGCTTTTCTTACTTGATCAGTCAATAGAGCATACATGATGTTAGACAATCACATGAACAGACAATATTTCAATCGACATGCCGCATATCACTTTCATATCCTACAGAGTGCAATTAATGCTTCCATTATACCGTCAATGTTTACAACTAACTTGGATTCCTAAAACAATCATAATAATGGCCATGTACAAATTAAAACAAGATGAAATCACGACTACAGTTATATTGAATTAGCAAATTAATGAAATCCTAGCGCTGCGAACAAACTTGGTCGACTGTGGGGATTTGTAGCAGTAGATAACGTACTTACATGTAGTGTACAGGTTGTGTAGTCAGCTAACAGCGGACACCTCGTCACCGCCCCATGCTGCTGCGACGCGCGGCCGCCTTCTGCAACCAACACACACATTGACATTACTTGTTTAAATTAATCAAAACAAATTAAATACTAGCACAGTAGTTGCTAACTTGGATGAATGCAAGGTATATGTGTAAGATGGTCATGTAAATAATTTTACCCGTCTATCTTTATTTACATACATACATACATATCTGTCACACCTGTCTCCCATTAGGGTAGGCAGAAACAATGGAACGCCAAATATTTCGATTCAAACAAACTTTTTTCGTTTCTTTCATAGTTATCAATTTTTTCATACACGCTCGCCGGTTACGGGTACTTTATTATCTACTTTATTTATTTAGACTGTGATATAGAAAAAGCCACTTCTTCCTTTCCCATGGGTGTCGTGAGAGTCGACTAAAGGGATGGCCAGCAGCGTCGCTCTTAAAACATCTCTAAAGCCCAACTGCGATTGCCACTTCAACTGCCAAGCATGAGAACTACTGGCAAAACCCCCCAAAGGGGAGGCTTATGTACAACAGTGGACGGTTAAAGGCTGATATGAATCCATCTCAATTTTGATGGGAATATTAGTTTGATCCGTTTCGAAGATATTGTTTTTTTTTTTACAACACAGGGGGCAAACGAGCATGCGGCTCACCTGATGGTAAGTGACTACCGCCGCCCATGATCACCCACAATACCAGCAGCATTGCAGGTGTGCTGCCGGCCTTTTAAAAAGGAATATACTCTTTTCTTGAAGGTTATGTTGTCGTATCGGTTCGGAAATACTGCTGCTGGAAGTTGATTCCAAAGAATGGTTGTGCGTGGAAGAAAGTGCCTAGAAAAACGCACGGTGGAAGACCGCCACTCGTCCAGATGATTGGGATGAAACTTTAGTTTGTGGCGGGTTGTATTGTTTTATCACTTATCCTGTATTATTGCCTATATATAAAATGGAAGTATGCTATATATCGTTATGAAATGTGTTATCCGGAATGTGTTACATTACATTAGTTTACTTATATTACGTGATACCTACGGAAACTCAATTTCAAAATTGTGATTTTTAACCTTTTGATCTAAAGCACACGTGAAACATTCCCAAGATTGTATCTGTACTGGTATAAGCGAAGAGAAGTAAGTATTTTTCTATTCATATAGGTATTTTTGAATTTGTTATTGATTTTACTTTTATATTTAGTTTCTCTTACGCTTTTGTTCATAAGATTTAATATTATGTGAATTGCAAATCGCTTCCCCTCTTGAAATGTCTCGTAAAGACGTTTTTAGATAGAATCTACAATAGGATATCATGGCGGCTTACAGCTGCCATATTGAGTTTCCTGTAATACTTCATATATCCTGTGTCACTCTCGGGATCGTGGAGAATCAAACGACACCTCGTTTATTAAAATCTATACAGATATTGAAATAATACGAGACAGTAAAACTAAGCAGACAGGACGTGTACCTGCAGCTTATTTACTTACTATCTTCCAGTTAGGTCAAAACAAAACACCCGTATAGATTGTTTACGTTGAACATGGAACGAGCTCCCTGTACAGATTTTTTCAAGAAATTACAGCATGGTGTTCTTCAAGAAAAGGGTAAAAAGGTTTCTTTTGTAATGTATGATAATGAAATGGTAATTCCACTCGTGCTATTGGTATACACTGACACTGAGCACAAGTGAAGGATGATAGGTAAAGGTGAAGCAGGTTAGTTGACCCACCATGACGAACTCAATAATAAATCAATCACGATGGTTTCCAAGTAGATCCGCGAGCAGATCGATTTGATAGGGATCTGCTAGCGATGGGGCAGTTAGACCTCATTACTAATAAATCCTTTCCCCCGAGATAAAGAGGGGAATTAGGGGCATTGCAGGGTCGGCAATGCCCGTAATTCCCCTTGTATTGCAGGCATTCATAAGCTACGGTAACCGCTTACTATCAGGTGGGCTGTTTGCTTGTTTGCTTGTTTGCCACCTCAGTGGTATAATATAATAAAACATGGCATACCCCTCCAACTGTTTATTTCAATATGTGTGACCATATATAGACGTGGCATTCTCTTTGTGTCTGTGGTCTTCAATAGCGATCCGACCAGGGGAGAATTATATTCCTTGATCGAAATCTTGTAAATATTTTTACTTACACATTTTTAATCGTTTTTTAAATTGAGTGGCGTGCCATGTTATCATAGAAAATTTAGAACACACCTACAGTAATTATAGTATTTCATTTATTTATTTATTTAATACTTTATTGTACACACCAGTTATAAGAATATGACAGAGGTAATCAAATGTACAAAGGCGAGTTCTCTTCCAGCAACACTCAAAGTGGAAAGGAGCATCGATGTCAGCGGGTAGAGCGGTGTACTATACGAGTATTGTGACAATTTTTAAATAGACGTAATTAAATTAATTACATTATATTTAATCGTACAACTACACATATACATATACATAAATATATACCTACATCTATGCATATACTTACATATACATACACACACATATAATATACCTACATACATAAATAAATAAATATATGTTTATAGAAATAGAAGATGCTCTTTAAGTCTACTCTTCATTCTTTCATTTTATTTCATATTACAATTGTCGCAAAAAAGTCAAACTACAAGTATGCGAATGGACTAATTTGCATTAAGACGTAAACACATGTGGCATTCGAGTAATCTTACACCGTTTGATGTACAAGCAAGTTATAACTAGGAACTTTCCCCGGGAGCCCAACTAATGTATGTATTTATTCGTATCGAGGTAAACAAGGACACTTCTGCGGAAACACCACACGTGTGAATTGCGCGGGCAACCGCATCTGGTAATATGAAATACCGCGATTTTTCCAAATACACCTTTCTTAATTTGTTTACTGCTTATTAAATATGTCTCTTTACAAGAAATAGTGAGTAAATAATATTTTAAATCACTGAACAATAACGTCATTTATGTAAATGTAATAACATATTAATGTCAAACTACTTAAAATATTTTTGTTAACAGAATAGGCAGATATACTTGTAAACACTACCCATAGTGAAATAAAGAAAAAGACTCAGTAAATAACATGGTGAAAGATCAAAAACATTTTTTAATTCCAAAGCAAGTTTACATTTGCAGTTGACCTGGCTGAGGGATTTACACAACGGGATAAACTTTGTCTACAAGATTAAAAATTAAACTAGTAAGGGAAACTAGTCCTTATAAAGCACCGCTGTCTCTGCGAGCACCGCTCACCGCTCCGGGAGAAAGTCAGAGGATCACTCGTTATAGATAGACAGAGCACCCAATTATCTCTACGATATAAATCTATGATTAAACTAAACTTTATAATTAGTTTTCAGCAGTTGCAGATTTTATATAAAGTAACTATTACTAATCTGCAAGCGGATTAAAATAATTTTAAGGGCACAGACAGTCAAATTATCATTAGTAGTTACAATTTTGATCACAATTTTTTTTTAAGATGAAATAACTTTTATTATACGAGAAGGCAGCAACATCAATAGATATGAATAAACTTAAGTCCCGCTCAATGTAAAGTTGAGAACAGCTTAAAATGAAAGTAATAACAAACTTGCAGACTGACACAGACTTGACACTGTGATCAATTATTGGTTCAAATTAACAGGGCTTATTTTATTCATTTAAATCTTGAAGGTTTTACAATAAAACAAGTCGGTCACATCTGCGGTTAATGAACTCATGTGGTAAGGTCATCCATGATTACGTTGTCTGCCGTGGCTGTGGAAATGAATTGAATTTCAGTGAAATGGCTTCTTGTAGATCTAACTTATTATTGTAGTAATTGGTCAGAAAAATATTGACTCTTGCTCAAGCCATATAACACTTAAAACTTTCCTTTGTGAGTTAGAATAAATTATAATCATTCCAGACGTCAAATGACAAATTTGAAACATGTAGCAAACAGTAGCGATGGCTACCCACTATTATAAAGTTCAAATTACGATAATACATTTAGTAAAAGGCAACGCTTTCATTCTTCACAGAACACCCATCAATATTCAGTAGTGAGCACAATAAATTTAATATATATGGTGAACACAGCCTCCGGTACATTATAAATCAGCTACGTACTCGTACATTACTGGGGGCTGGTGGCTGACACAGATGCAGTAAAATTATATGCAAGAAAATCTTTTTTATATTTAACAAAATGACTGTTATTTCTTGATTATTTACAATATTTTTGCTGTATAAAAAAAAATCTTATTCTTTTTATGCAACATAGAATGCCAAACAAGCTGGCGATCCACCCTGATGGGAAGTGGTAATATTCGTCTGTAGACATGAATAGTACCATGAACACAACAGAGCACTCTGTTTCTGAGGACTAAGCTGTTATGCATGTGTATCCTGTAATTTCGCTGCTATAACCCACCCTTCAAACCGTGACACAGTCACACAAACACAACTGCTTCACGGTAGTGCTTGCTTTTCAATTGTTCTGGTGAGAAATTAAATTTTCATGGCGTAGATTAAGACTATTTTTATACCTAAAAATAGTCCAAATTCTATTTTGTGTTTTTAGAGACCATTAACAACTGGACCATAACGACATCAAAAAGTGTCAGTTCTTTCTTCTCTTCAAAATTATGATAGCTGAGGACTGTGGTGTTATGTGTCTGTACCCTGTAACTTCATAGCCATATCCAACCTTTCAAACCAAAACACAGCTGCTTCACAGCAGAAACACGAATAGGACAGAGGTACCCAAACCGACGACCCCTATATAAAGTCTCCTTCAGTTTCAAATTTGGTATTTACATACAAAATTAAATTATTTGAGGCAAGTACTGTTATTATTTTTTTATTATTTTAATTTTAAACACGCTTTTGTTTTCCCATTATCAGTAAAAATGTAAAATTAAATTTAAAAATTATTCAAATCAGTTAAAAGTAAAAACCTTGAGTTTCCAAGATAATTTGAATCCGTAAATATGTCACATTCACAACTTCATTATGTAAAATAAAAAAAAGCGAGAGAAACTCAAT